GACCAGCTGTCTGCAAGGACAGTCATTTCCATGGCCCAGTTGCAAACCACTCACAGCTCACAGGTTGGGGACCCCTACCCTAATCATATTTGTTGTTCTTCTCTTCACTCTGAGTTTTGACATCTTTTTTACACTGTGGCGACCAAAGCTGAAATGCAGTATTCCAAGTGTGATCTTACCAAGGCATTATAAAGTGATACTAACACTTCACATGATCTTGATTCTAAAAGACACTAGAAAAGACTTCTGCTCCTGAGAATCCTTCTCCACCTAATTTGTTTCCTAATTGAGTACTTTCAGCTTGCTAAGATCACAGTCTTCAGAATTCCTAAACCCCTTGGCAAAGTCTTAAAGCAAGGGCTCTTGCTGGGTGGGAATTGTAGTCTTAACCTTGTTACAGCTATTAGATTTGGGGAAATTCTGTTAGTGGATGGGAGAAAAAAAATTGTTGATACCTGCAGCCAAGTTTTCCAACCTTCTCAGGGAGCTGGATCCCCTTCAGCTGAAGCAGAGCCAACAGTAGCAAAACAGGAAGAGTGGTAGCTTTCTGATAACAAAATCTAGTCAGGCAAAATCCAGAGGGAAAGGAAGGGAAGGAAAAGAAAGGCAAGGCTGCTGCTTCGATCAACTGACAAAGCTTCCACGCAGAAGACAAGTGGATAGTTAGATAGATAGATGAGAAATTACAATGAGGACAATACAAGATTTAGCAGGATTAAATGCTCAAGAGAATAAATAGGTTTTCAAGTGATAGACAAGTTTACAAGGCTGGGGAATAGCCAAAATGGATCAGCGGAAAATTGCCAAAATTGCAGCATCTGTGTCAGATTGTTATTCAGTTAATCAGTAGCAGAATATACAGAGTCGAGGAGGACTGCCAAATTCTAAGCTGATGGTGGCAAATCTATGACACACATGTCAAAGGTAATGTGTCAAGACATTTTGGGTGACATGCTAGTGTTCACCAACACTCAACAACTATTCTTGAAAGCCTATCCTGATCTTGCTCTATTTGCAGACACTGAGAAAAAAATGGGGTGTGCTCTCACATGGCCTCTGGATAAGGTGACCAGATGTCCCGCTTTTGGCGGGACAGTCACGATTTTTCAAAATTTGTCCCGTGTCCCGCTGCGTGTTCAAAAAGTCCCGATTTGAAAAGGACGCCGTTAAAAAAAAAGTTTTTATTTCTCTGAAGTGTCGTTCCCGTTGTGGCCTTTAGAGGGCAGTGGTTTCCCTCCCTCCGCTCGGCTTGCTTGCAGCGCCCAACGAGGGGCGAGGCTCCTCCCTCCCCTGCTGCTCTTCCAAACACGATCATATCTCCCTTCCTTTCGATCTGGTTGCTTTTCTCTGGTCTCCTTTTGGGGAGGGGGGGAGGGGGTAGAAGATCTGTCATTTTCCTTCCTTTAAAAAACGGGGGAAAAACCCAGGATTTATTGCAAATAAAGAAATCCCCCCCAAATGGATCAGGGAGGCGGGAGGGGGGGGGAGAGTGGGAATTAGGGGAAAGGGGGATTTTCCTCCCGTGCCTTGGATT